GCTTGAATTGTAAAGGTTGCAATAGATATGTGTTTCTTTACTTCTGACCAGGCTGAACGAGGGTCTGCTTTATTTTCAATATCAAACATAGCATCATAGATCCCAGGAAATGATTCTCCAGCATATTTGTTATGGCTACTTGGAGCAAAGATGATGTGCCTATAGAACCGCCTCCCTGGTAAGCCAAAGGGATCAATGAATGCTCTTTCCAGGAGCGTCAGTTGGTCATTCATGATTCTCACTGCAATAGGATTATTAAGATCAACTTGTGTGAGTCTTCTATGAAAATCTGAAGCAGACTCTGAGAAGTTTTTCACAGCAGAAAATAAGGAATCAAATGATACCCCATGGTCTCTCAATTGTTGATCATGTTTCTTGGATAAATTATAGATGCTTGTTGCATAGTTTTCCAAAGCTTTTGCATAATCTTGAATATTGAAGGGAATGATTTCAGAGTCCACAAGCTCATATGCCAGTGCTCCTTGTAATTGGGCCACAGAAAGCTGTTTTTTAAATGTGGGGTCATAAAAATTCTCTACCAATTCAAATGTCTCATAAATTGTGTGGTATACTGGGTAGCTACTGTATTTATCTGTTTTCCTATTCTTAGTGTAACGGACTCTGCCTGAAGCAATTCCAAGTCTCTGAAAATAAGCTTCAAAATCACTCCCAGATCCCAGCTTGTTGATTATAGGAACATCTTTATTTTCAGGTGAAGGGTCCTTTTTCAACCAGCTTTCATAAAGAGACTGACTTTCAAAACCATCATCAGGGCTGGAGATCTCTTTTGTCAGTTTATATACCAATTGGTAAAGATGGGGTGTACAATCAACTCTGAGAGTATAATTGCCTTCTATAGATGAATCCGAGTTGATATAAGCAACGCTTCTCTCCTGGAGTGTTTCTGCATTTTCCTCTGCCCATTCTGTAGAACCCTGAAGTCCAAATTCTTCTGCATTGGCTGGCAAAAATGATAGTTCTTCTAGGTCTCCAGCCTCTACTCAGCAGTTTTCCAAAACTCTGGACAATTTCTTGCAAAACAGCAGCCCCACTGGTTGGGTCAATACCTCCAAATACCCAGGCATCCCGATGACCTCCCAGAATAACGTACCTGTCAGGTTCCACAGATCCTCTGATAGTTCCAATTACATTGTAAATCCTTGTAATTTTATTGAAGTTATGAACATGCATTCTAATCTTCCTGAAAGAATCATTCCCTGTAAAGCCAGGTCCAATATTGTAATTCATGTTAAGACTTCCTTTCCAGCTCTTATCTGGTGGAGCAGGTCCTCCCATATGACGTAATATTTTTTCTGCATTACTATATCCAATGGGATGTACAGGGATTTTGGAGATACCCACTCCTTCGTCAACATCAAGCCTGAAGGTGTACTCTTTAGCTGGATATCCTGGAGTAAGTGGGTCACCAGCACCATTCAAATTTAACACATTCCCTCTCTGAGCTCCAGTTCCAGGAAGGTTCCATCCTTTGGGATATGACTGTACCCCTGGGGCAGCATAGTCGGCTGGCTCTGAGTACAAGATGATTCCTATGGCTCCTGCTAACATGCATTTTTAACTTTATTTCCTCTGAAGATTTTCCCATATCTTGCAATCACAATCTTTCCAGTGCAGTTGATGTTCATATCTCTTTCTAGTTTGAAAAAATCTTCAGTACGAGCATCGTTGACATATATAAGATCTCCCCTCTGGTGAGCCTTGTGCTGAGATGGCAGAACAGGCACAAGCTAGACATTTCCATTACAAATGGGAGAAACTGCAGGGAAAGAAGGCATAACAGGCACCAAGCAAGTTAGCAGAACACATTACATTAGCCCTTAAGGCTTTAAAAATAATCCTCTGTTCTCTGAGACAATTTACACAATGGCCCTGCCCTCCAGACTCTAGGTATTGGCCACAGTCTCTGGATTTTGAGTGGAGGCCCCTCGGCCCTGGGCTTCAGCTCCGCTTTCCAGGCCCACTGGGACAGCAACTCTGCTCCCTTGGCTTTAGGCGCACCATTCTCCTACTCCATCTGAGTGACAACACCAGAAGCCATGGCTGCACCCTTTGAAACTCCTGAGGTCATGGCCATACCTTTTGAGACTGAAGCAGCTCAGCTTCTTGTGTCCCTTATCTCTTCAGCTTCTGCTTCCTATGGCCTCTCGGCCCTTGGGCCTCACGCCCACATCTGCCCTGCTGGGGCAAATGTTCCAAAGCTCAGTAGCTCCACCGGTATAAGTGCCTGGAGGCACCCCACTCCACCAGAAAGCCTCGTGCACACAGACACTCAGCTCTCTCGCTCCGTGGGTGGGCAAGCCTAGCTCTACCGATAAGCGCCCAGAGGCACCTCACTCCACCAGGAAGCCTCCTGCACACAGGCACTCAGCTCTCTCACTCCGTGGGTCGGCTCCAGCGCCATCTTTCACCAGTCTCCTGGTTCTACTGCTGTTGGTTCTCTGCTGCAGCTGCTTCTCTGCTGCTGTAGGTTCTCTGCTGCTGCTGGTCCTCTGTTACTGCCGCACATCTATCCATTCACAGTTTTAAAACCACTTCCACCACTTCCACATTTTAGGTATCTGTTAGAGCAGCACCCCACTCTCGGTACCAAATTCTATGTTAGTCATCTAGTGCTGCCATAACAGAAATACCACAAGTGGATGGTTTTAATGAAGAGAAGTTTATTTCCTCATAGTCAAAGTAGGCTAAAAGTCAAAATTCAAGGTCAGCTCCAGGGGAAGGCTCTCTCTCTCAGCCTTCTCATCAGCATTCCCCCAGACTAGGAGCTTCTTGGTGCAGGGACCACGGTCCAAAGCACGCGCTCTGCTCCTGGCACTGCTTTCTTGATGTTATGAGGTCCCCCAACCTTTTTTTTTAAAATTGTACTTTAAATGAAAGTTTATAATTCACGTAAGTCTCTCACACAAAAATTTATACATTGTTATGTGACCCTAGTTGCTCTCCCTATACTGTGACAGCACACTCTTCCTTTCCACCCTGAATTTCCCGTGTCTGTTCAACCAGCTCCTTACCCGCTCTGCCTTCTCATCTTGTCTCTGGACAGGAGCTGCCTATTTAGTCTCATGTATCTACTTGAGCTAAGCAGCACATTCTTCATGAGTTATCATTTAATGTCCCATAGTCCAGTCTAATCTTTGTCTGAAGAGTTGGACTTGGGAATGGTTTTAGTTCTGGGTTAACAGAGAGTCCGGGGGCCATGTCTTCCGGAGTTCCTCCAGTCTCAGACCATTAAGTCTGGTCTTTTTACTAGAATTTGAGTTCTGCACCTCACTTTTCTCCTGCTCCATCAGGGTCTCTCTGTTGTGTTCCCTGTCAGGGCAGTCATTTTGGTAGCTGGGCCCCATCTAGTTCTTCTGGTCTCAGGCTGATGAAGTCTCTGATTTATGTAGCCCTTTCTGTCTCTTGGGCTAATACTTTCCTTGTGTCTATGGTGTTCTTCATTCTCCTTTACTCCAGGTGGGTTGGGATCCAAGGCAGTAATCTTTATGGAAGCAGACTGCCACCTTTTTCACCTCTGGAGAGGTTAGTGGGTTTGAACTGCCAGCCTTTCAGTTAGCAGCTGAGCGCTTAACCACTGCACCACCACAGCTCCTTTCTAAGAGTGAAAGGGGGCACTAACTCCCTGGGATGCCAGGACAATAGGCATAAAGTGGGCCTGTCCTGACCAAACCAGGATGTATGGTCCCTATAACTTTAGGAAGAAGGTGCTTCTCAGTTTTAATATGCCACTTCTAACTCATCTGTCCCAAACAAAAGGCAGAGGTAACAATGAACTTAGGCTAGATAAAAAGCTGTCAACCTCTCTGGTTCTTTCTGAATGTAAACATGATGTGACATCCATAACTATTTCAGTAACTACCAGGAGTGTTTTTTCTTTTCATAAATTAGAAGCACAAATGGCCATTTACTTCGGTCATAATGGGACCATGATACATTAAACTACTCAAATTTGTAGATTAAAGGCTTTGTTTATTTACTTACTTTAAATACTGATCACCTACAACAGATTATTCAAGAGTTAGGTAGAAAGATGACATCCAAAACAAACTTTATTTACATATGGATAATAAGAACATTAGTAACTCGAATACTGAGTAAGTTTTGGATTAATTAGAAGTCCATGATTCAATCACCAAGCCTATTTTATGGAAGCAGTATAAAATTACATTTGGTATTTTTTCTCAGTTCTCTGGTATTCTTGAAGCTTGCAAAGATTCAGAACACTTTAATGATAGCTTGTTGAATGGCAATAAAAATGAGATGATGGTATTTAGAATTCAGTCTCTCACAAAAAAGACGTTATATCCAAGTTCTGTCAAAGCCCCAGCCAGTAAGGCCCATAAAGGAATGAAGACATAGGACAGATTCATGGTAGTAAACTGTTCCAGTTTAGCACAGAGTGCAAGGCAGAAGGCTAATTTAAGTAACATTGCAATGAGGTACCAGGCTTTTTTTTTAATATTGTGTGATCCATGTCGAGGGTCAAAGCCAGACTTACACCGCCCAGCCATTTTCACAATCAGCATAACAAGAAGGATAGTATCAAATATCCAGACTGGAATAAATATGAGGAACCAGTTCCAAGGTGCCTTCTCATCCAGTTTCAACACCAACATGATCAAGAAGAGTAATGTGAAAAGCCAGGTGAGTAGTACTCTCTGGGCCAAGGACATTCTCATTTAAACAGTTTAAAGAGGCTGTTGCAGCGTCGAAAAAAAGGAAATATACCCTAAGAGAGGGGAGAAAACATCAAAATGTTTTGATACCAGAAAAAAGAAGAAAAAAAAACAATTTACTAGTGAACAACAAAGCTGGCTCTTTCCCACTCTCAGATTTCCTAATTTTGAAAACATTCTACCATTCTTCCCTTCATAAAACTCTAAAACTCATAGCCTTCTTTGACAACATTATATCCATAATTCTCTTACAGCCCTTGACAAAATACAACAAAATTTTTAACATACCTACTGGGTGTTAGCTCTATTCAAAATCTCAAGAATAGTCTGTTCCTTTCCATTGCTATCCTTCAAGTCCAGCCACTCACTGGCTTTATTCCTGCACCTCAGGAATGTTCTTAATTTACTTCCCTGCACGTTTGCATGTATGATTTTCCACTCAATTTCAGGGTGTACTAAGAAAAAGCATTCAAAATGGAAGTAGTGAAAAAGGAGGAGGTTGTATCAAGCCTGGAGAGGAGAGAGTTTTAATCGTAACTGGACTAAATAATATAAAGGGCATTGATAACACTGGATTTTCACATAGTTTAATACTATAAGCCCTATTTTTTAAATTAAATTCTCATTTTCCCATTAAAGTTCTTATGAATGTCTATTTTCTTAGTCTAAGATTTCTTTCTTTTAATAGGTAACCTCTCATTGTATTGTTTTGGTTTGTGGTATATATCATGACATATTACCAATAATCAAGACCACTTAACTTTTGATGTTGTTTTGTGATTATTAGATAGTAAATTATTCTATAATCAGGCCTATTCCTTATATACATATGTTTTACTTATATTTCTGTTTTGTACTAGTACTATATGACTGTTATTGTTGCTCTAGGATATGTTCTAGTATCTGGAAGGCCTAGTACCTACTCACTCTTTTCTAAAACATTTTCTGCTCTTTTTGCCCTTTCATTTTCTTAATGCTAAAATTGCTAATTCTTTTTCAAAAACTTGAAATTTTGACTGGGAATGCATTAAATCTAAAACTTACTTAGATATAAACATTTATTATATTTAATCTTCACATAATAGGTTTATAATATTTTCCTCCATGCACTCAAGTTTTTTATACTAACCTTGTGGCCCTCTGGAAAAAGGATAAATAGGGAAATTAGAAGACAGACTGCATACAGTTGAGTGAGGAGTTAACAGAAGATAAAGAAATGGAAACAGCTGAGAACATGTTATCCCCTTGAGACATTTGCAGGAGAGAAGATGAAAGATAAGACATAAGATTGGGAAAGGAACAAGAGAAGGAATATTCAGGATGGAAGGGACAGGAGCATGATTACAAATTTAGAGAAATAAGCCACTGGGGAGTGATAAACTGAAAATGAGAGGATACTTGATGGAAAGAGGAAAAGATCAGAATGTGGTAGATGGGAACAAAAGCAAAGGCGGAGGGGGTTACCCTCTGGCATAACAGTAAAGATGCAGTATAAGAAAGAAAAGGGGAAGAAACTGGCAGTAACACAACAAGGACTAAACCATGGCAGTAGGGTCGATTCCGACTCATAGCAACCCTACAGGACAGAGTAGAACTGCCCCATAGTGTTTCCAAGACTGTAATCTTTACGGAAGCAGTCTGCCACATCTTTCTCTGCAGAGAGGCTGGTAGGTTCAAACAACTGACCTTTTGGTTAGCAGCCAAGAGCTTTAATCACTGCACCACCAGGGCTCTGCTGCCAAGGACTAGGTAAACCAAATGCACAATACTAGTGTGCTCAATTGACCATAGTTTAGAACTAACTTTGATGTTCTCTGCTACATGTCTACTACTTTACACAGTGGGTGACTATCATGTAATGTTGCAAGACTATACATGTTTTATTTCAATACTTATGTATGAGTTCATAGATTAAATGAGACTCCTAACTCACCTTTTCCCCCTTATACACATCTACTTGCACTCAGTTTATTTACCTAGGTGGCAGATGCTGCACACTGCAGCACTTTTGATCCTAGGAAGACATCTTCTGTGCTAGTCTCCCTTCCTGGCCAGAGGACATATTTCAGAGGTAACTAGAAAGGCCGCCATAATGGGATTCAGAGCTGAACTGGGAAGGAGGGGTGTAGGGGTGTGTGCTGATTAATAACTACAAATTGATTTTACCTGCAAATTAAGTTTGTTCAGCCCTGATAGCCAATCTATCTGGCCTTGTTTTTGTGAACCTTTATAAAAAGTTTTATGATAATACACTTGTTAAACATAACTTTTCCATCTGGCATCAGATGAGTCAAGCTTCATTTTTTCTCATCGAGGAGAGTAGCAAGTGGTCATAGAAAGGGTGGCTGCATTCACCACAGGTACCTAGGATGCGTGGTGAAAGGATGCAAAGAACAGTCTTATTGTGATTACAAACTTTATAATATAGGATGCAACAAAGTTTTGTATGCATAGAAGTGTACCCAGACACTAAAATACTCTTAAGGGGAGCACTCTGACATTTGAATGACACTTGAGAGAGAGTGGATGCTGAGCTACAATGAAGACATTTAAGACCCCAATTTTATATTTACGTCTTCGTTAATTTAAGCAATCCTATTTGCTTTCTCTTTCTACTCTCCTCAATGGAAGGAGTTGCATACTCCAAAACAAAAATTAGCTCAACTAAAATACATCTCCTTGAAAGTGGTTATTTCTTGTATCTGGAAAATAAATTTCGTTCACATGCTTCAAAATAACCCTCATATGGAAATCTAAAGGACCCTACCCACATCACCTGCATCTAGGTATCATCTGTGAGTTGACTCATGAATTCGTCTACTGTTCTTCCCACGCCACCTGCATCTCCCTTCTCTCGCTATGGCCAGTATTCTTCCAAGTGAACTCGCCTCATCCCAGAGTTTTACTTAATGAGCCCAGAATACAATATTCCACTTCATAATGAAGCCCTTTCAAAAGGCTCGTGCTGCAACAGCCTTCCCCAACTTAAGCATCCTTCACAGGAACAGCGTTCTGCTTATAACTTATCCGATTCGGGCCTACTCGTCCCTAGGACTCCAGGACGCTCCTAAACTGTCCTTGTCCTTCGTCTGCAAACGCCGATCTTCTGCTCGCGACGCCCTGTCCGGACTCCCCCCACTGAGCTGTGTGCCCAGCACATTTTTGGAGTTGAATGCGGTTCTTGCACGATACGATCCACAATGCACACAGAAACCCTGTTGCCAAGCAGGCGTGTGCGCGTCTTAGGCCCGGAGTGTGAGGCGGTGGGGGGCCACGGCACAGCCCGCGGGAGCAGCGGGAGGCCAGCGCCGGCACTGTAGGGGAGAGTGCACTTCGGAGGGATGCTGGCCCATCGAAGCCCCGGACTCACCTAACAGAGCCGTTGGCCGGAGAACCGAGAGGGGCGCGAAGATCAGGAAATTCGCCAGGTCGGAGCCTTGGACTTTTCCACACTTTTTCCCCCATTAAATCCAGAACCCGTCACATGATAATTAAGAAAAAGACTCAGTTCCGCCTCCGCAAACCACCGCAGTAGACGCTCTGCTCTCTCAGTTCTACCTCAGGGCCGCGCCCACATCCGGGGTAAGTTCTTACCGCCCCTGGGCCTACCCTATAGGCAGAGAAGACGCCAATCGGGGTTCAGAGGCCCCTTTTCCCGCGGTAATTGGACCATTTGGTCGCCAGTGCAAACCAACCAACCTTTCCTTATATTTGGGTTCGACAAAAGGCGGCAATGAAAGAACGCCCCTGGGCCCGTCTCTCTACAGCCATTGGTTAAGAGGAGAGTCAGTCTAAACTCAGTCTGGCTTTTCCGTGGTCACATTGGGCTCATAGATGCCAATAAGACCAGCCAGCGCTCGGCTCCACCCCCCGCGGGGTGCATCGCCTCTCCTCTTGCCCTCCGCTCCAGCGGAGGGGTGGGGGATTGCAGGCCCCGGCGCAAAATCCTGCGGGAAAAGAGGTGGGGCGACGGCTCTGGAGGCAGCGCGCCCGCGGGCAGCGTCGTGTGGCTCCTCCGACTCCCGCGGCTGCGGCGCTCGCCTTGTTCTTCCGCGCGCACCCCAGCCGCCTCCTAGCGGCGCGGCGCCCGCTCCTACGGTAAGAGCGGCATCACCTCCGCGCTTGGGCGGGCCGTCTGGAGGTGGTTAGGTTCTGACGGAATCCCTAGGATGGACAGGACAGGACGAGGGAGGAGAACAGCCGGCGGGACTGAGGTGGGAGCTCCGGGGCCAACGCATCACCTTCTGTCTCTGCTGACTTCCCTGGCAGCCACCGGCACCTGCGGGCAGGGGCGGGGGTCAGGCGCGGCTGCCTCCCATCTTTTCGCCGGCGACGGAGGCTCAGCCTTCCACCTCCCGAGCCCGCGATGTCCTCGAAGCTTGAGGTTGACGGGCCGAAACCCGGCGCCGCCGGCCGCAGTGCTGCCGCCGTCCCTCCGTCCCCTCTCTCGGCCCTTCTCCTTCTTTTCGTTCCCTTGGTGTTGTGCTGGGGGGCGTCGGGGCCCCGGGAACGGAGTGCGGAGGATCGGGCGGCCGAGCCTGGGTGGGCGGGGAGAGGTCAGCTAGCGGCCGAAGCAGCGGGCTCGGGAGGAGGGGGCGGCTCCGCGCGCCGGACGCAGACTAGGAGGGAGGGTCGCTGCGCGGCACCCGCGGAGCAGGCAACAGTTAGGCTTTCTGATTCCATCGCGGACTGCAGAGCGGTTGCTGAAATCTTACGCACCGGCCGTAAGAGATATTTCTAGTCTGAAAAAATATCGCGGTCCATCAGCCTGCTTCTTCAACTTTTCTTGTGTTTTATCTGCCTGATATTGACAGCCAGCGTTCTGGTATTGTTCCTTTTGAGTCGTGGCTTTCTAACTCAGCACCTCCTTGTATAACTTTGGTGATCATTTTGTCACTAATGTATCTATTTTTAGCCTGGCAAAAACAAAGAACTGCTTTATATTAACATACACTGACTAGGAAGTACAGAATCTGGAACCATTTATTAATCAGTATGTACTTTACACACTAAGCAGTTTTTAAATTTATGGTGAATGTATTGAATGTTTTGTAAATTACACTTGGTCTCTTGTTACTGGTATATTCTTACTTTGAGATTATTTTGTTACGTGGGGTACTTTGATTTTATAGTTTTTGGTTAGCGTTAGCCAGCTAGACATTTAAAAATGTTCCCCTCCACCCGAGACTTTGGCTATAGACTTAGTATTTGATGGTCATTTTAGGGGTTATGTATTTTTTAAAATTTGTTTTCTCCAAAACTTTGGACTTCTTTATAAGTTTTTAATGTTGGAAGGGAGAATTCTGAGAGTTTGGAAATTATGCATTTTAGCCTAAAGAGCCTTAAAATAGCATAGCAGTTTGAAATCCTGACATTTTGGAGTAAGAGCTGCTAAGTTGTTGAGAAGGAAATGGGTGTCCCCTGTCAGTTGTGGTGGCTCAGCCTCCATATTCCAGAGGGAAAGTATCTGGAGGTCTGGGGAGAATGAGCCATGTGTGGGACCAGCAACAAGGTGGTTCTAGGAAAATTTCTTGCTCAGGAAGTAGCCTATTTCCCACACAGTTTGGTTGTCTGCACGCATCAGACAGCATTAAGTTAGGTATCGGTAAGCTTGGGAGTGTTGCGTTCTAATTTTCACCATTTTATGGTGGAGTACAATAATGCAGTCAGCAAATCAAGCGTAGTGTACAATAGAGACACACTTGCATAGTCAACCCTCCAAGGGTAGACTTTCTTTTGAACCCAAACTGGCACTGAACAGTTGACTGTAAAAATGAAGAAGGTGGCTTGAACAATTTTTAAACCACAAACCTTCTGGCTAGCCCATTTAATGAAAAATTGCAATGAATTTTAATGAAAAAGGCCTCACTACACTGAGCCAAAGGGAATTCAGGGTGGCATGTGGAAAAAATGGGGATCAAAAGGAGTTGCATTGCTTGTATATTATTTAATTGTTATAATCCTATGAGATAGATACTGTGATGACTGTCCTGCCTGTTTTATAGATGTTAGATTAACTCAATTTGTGCAAGATTTCTCAGCGAGGAAGTTGGTAGAGGTGGAATTCATACCCAAGCAATCTGGTTCTAATGCCTATTATTCCAAGCCATTATGCTTTACCACTACAGTAAATTGGCTTCTTAGAGACTTGTTAGAAGGAGACTCATCAGTGGAAAATAATGCTGCAAAGCCATAAACTGAATAGGAGGTTCAGTAGAGGGGATTGAAGCTCTGCTAAGATCATCCTCGTTATCTTGCCCCACCACTCACCCTAGCCGACAGCAGAGAATGGGCAGCCTAATTTATGTTGTTGGCTTTGGTTAAGTTCAGGTTCTGTTTCTGAGTGAGTGAGTGAGTGTGTGTGTGTGAAATATGGGAAACCATCATGGTGCTCTTTGTTTTTTCAAGTGGGTTCTAATACTATTGGAGTCACTTAACTATGTGAAAAGAAAAGGAAAATGGGATGAAATCCCCTACCTACAAACCTTTATGTCTCTCTGACAAAATAAAAACCTACAAAAACAGTGGTAAACTAATGGTGCAGGAGAAAAAGGAAGGGGGAGAAAAGCCCCACCTGGAGAGGCTTGGGGCCAAAGCCAGGCCGGGTAGAAGGGATGATTGATAAGAGCCAGAAGACCCTGGCCCACCCAGCCAGAGGCCCAAGGTCATATGCATATAAATGGGAAGATAGGGTGTGAAGAGAAGACAAATCTGCAATGTTTTAAAAAGGGTTCTGTGTTTAGGATTATGCATTTATCTGAATGTACTACGGAGAGCATGTAACTCCGCCTTCAGCCAATACTTAATTGGATAAGCTAAAGCAGGAAACCCTGGTGGCAAGGTGGTTAAGAGCAACCAGCTGCTAACCTTTTGATCTGCAGTTCTAATCCACCAGGCGCTCCTTGGAAACTCTACGGGGCAGTTCTAGTCTGTCCCGTAGGGTCGCTATGAGTGGAAATTGACTCGATGGCAATGGGTTTTTTAAAGGGAGAACTAGGATTTGCCTGGGAGAAACACAGGCTTTTTGTTTCAGGCCGGTAGCCCTGTGTCTAGCGTGGGGGCTTAGGTCGAAAACCTGAGCTGAGCCCTACCCAGATTTGCATTTATCCATACCCACTTCCACCTGGCTGTGTAGGCCTGATTCTCAGCCCCCGCCCCTTTAGGGGAATCCTCTGCCACCTCTCCACCGAATTACTTACCTGCCCCGCATGAGTCAGAAGCTCCCGGTCCTGCCCAGGGATAGTCTCCCCAGCACATACCTGTACTGGGGTGCAGTTTGGCCAGGGATTCCCCCCCAAGTCTCCTCCATAACATATTGAGATCATTGTATAATAGGCACTGTGTTGAGCATTGCTGGGGATGTGGGAATGGAGTCACATTTTCTGTCTTTGAGGAGCATCTGTTTAATGGGAGGGAGAGATATTTGAACAAATGATAATAATACCACATATACAGTAAGAGAGTGCTATAGAGTCTGTGCTTTCATGGCGAGAGACTTCATTTAAAGTTTATACAGACCAGAGTTTGAATTCCTGTTTTGCTTTGTGACCTTGGACATGATACCAAATCTCTTTTAGCTTCGGTTCCCTCGTCTGTTAAGTGGAGGGAATAATACTTCAGAAGGTTATATTGAACATTAAGTAAGTAATATGTAAAGTACTGGCATATATAAGCCCTGAATATAGAAGAAAGAAAGAATAATTTTGCTTAAGGGGATAGTGGATAAACGGTTGGGAGGTTCAAGGGGTGATGCTGCTGGAGCTTTAAAAGATGAGTGATAGTTTCCCAAGATGGGGGATAGGGACATTCCAGGAAGATGTGACATAACAGGAGATGGTCTAAGAACAGAATATGGATTATTGAGGGAATAGCAAGTAATTGTGGAGGCCAATTTTAAATGATAATTGTATATAAATGTGACTGGCCCAAGTGAGTACTATCCAGTGTTGGTGGTTGGAAATTACATACTTAGAAAATAAAATTATAGGAAAATCTCAACTGTTTGTGCACTGTGACATTTTAATTTAATATTTACCTCCTAATAAGTATTTGGAAACCCTAGTGGTGTAGTGGTTAAGTGCTGTGGCTGCTAACCAAAAGTTTAGCAGTTCGACTCCACCGGCACTCTTTGGAAACTGTGGGGCAGTTCTGCTCTGTTCTACAGGGTCACTATGAGACGGAATGGACTTGATGGCAGCGGGTTTGGTTTTTTATAATACATATTTCCCCTGTGCCGATTAAAACTCTTTTCCAACATGTACAGCTAGGCAACTATTTCATTATTTCATTCAGATGGTTCATTTTAAGTTGTAAATGAAGACTAATACTGCTAGAGGTATTTGCACCTAATTTGTGGAATATTTGGGGGGGATTATTTAAAAAAGTAGAACCTTAATGTGACTATTGTCTATTTGGTCTCCGTTTAGCCCCTTTACCTACCCTGTGGTCTCATAGAGTCAGTTTTGCAAACTACCCTTTACGTATGTTGACTGTCTTTTCTGAATCTAAATTTTAGATTTGACAATGGGGCAGAATGTTTTAAATCGGTGCTGTCCTTAAAAATCAGAAACAAAACCCCATGTTTATATCTTCCTCTCAGGTTAGCAAAGAAACATGAATACTCACATTGAATTTAAAAATGTGGAAAATTACTTGATGACTAGAATCATATGACTGAGTTGAAGATATTAAATGACATTTAGGAAAGCTGCATTTTTAGCCCAGCTTGTTAGCCTCCTATAAATTGCTAAAATGACACAAGATACAGAGGTGAGTTTTCAGATGAAAAGATAATTACTTTCTGTAGTAGGTAGAGCACTAGGAAAGAAAATATGCTGGACTTCATTCTGAGTAGTGAACAGGAACTGGGACAGGAAATGGCTGTGGCTGAACCACTACCTGATAATAATCATAACATGATTAAATTTGACATTTAATGAGGGGAAGTAAGGGGAAAAAAGTGCACATTGTGCATCTTTTCAATTTCAGAAGCAGTAGGGGAAAGGAGCTGTTAAAAGTATATCTACAGGAATTTTGAAGACACATAGTAGACATTCATGTATTTGTTGAATGAAGCACCTTCAGAAAACTTTTGATAA